TATTAATTATTAATTAGTAAAAATTAATTAATTTTATATGTAATTAAAAGAAGTCACTGATAAAAAATCTGAAAAATCTGAAAAAAATATATATTAAACTAGAGAAATCTAGTTATTTTTTAAGATAAAAATAAAAAATATTTGTTAGTAAAATTAAAAAATTTTATATATAAGGAAAATTATGTATTTTACTAATTATAATTAGTAAAAAATTTAAGCATTGCATTACTTTTAATAGTTACTATATATTATAATTATATAATAATTAAAACTTATATAAGATTAATAATTAATAAAATTATAAAGTTATATAAAAGATTAACTAATTAAATTAAGAATTTATAATTAAATATAAAATAATATAATTAAATTTTAATTTTTATTAAAATTATAATATATTAAATATTAGTAATTCAAAACTTATATATATAATATATTATATATAATAATAGATATTATAATTTTTAATTAATTACTATAATTATATAATATTTATTTATTATTAATTTTTTATTAATTTATAATTAATTATAATTTAAATTTATTAATTATAATTATATAATATTTATTTATTATTTTATTAAAAATATTATATATTATATAAATTTATATAATTAATTAACTTTTTTAATATTAATATAACTTTTAAAAATTAAAGAAATATAATTTTAATATATAAATAAAAGTAAATTTATAATAATAAAAGATAAAAATAAATAAAAAAAATAAAAATAAAAAAATAACTTAATCTTATAAAAATAATAAATATTTTAATTGATTAATTATAATTTAAAAATAAATAATATAATAAATAATATAAAAAACTTTTTTTTTATATTTTTTATTTTTTAAATAAGAAAATTAATACTTAAATTAATAATTTAAAAAATAAATTATATAAAAATATAATATAAATTTATAATTAAATAAATCAAAATAAAAATTAAAAAATATATATATATTATATTCAAGTTATATAAATATTATTTTTATATTAAAATTCATAATATTATTAATATTATTTCTTATTTAATAAGTATTTTTTTATTATTATTTATTATATTTGAAAAATAAAATTTATTATATTATTATTAATTATTATTAATTTTTCTTATATATTTTTATTTTTTTATATACTTTTATTTTTTTATTTCTTATTCTTTTTTCTTTATATTTAATAGTTTAATAATATTAATAATAGCTTAAATTATTAGATATAAAAATATTTTTTATTATATTATTATTATTATAAGTTATTTAAAATTTAAAGCTAATATAAATTAAATATTATAATTACTAATTTATTTATTTATATTAAATTAGTTAATATAAATTAATTAATAAAAATATAACTTATTAATTATTAAATTGATATAATTATATTTAAAAAAAATTAATAATTATCTATTATTAAATCTTATTTTTATAATATTATTTTTATTATTTATTTTATTTATTCTTTTTTAATATTTATTTTTTATTTTTTTTATTTTATTTTAATATTATTTTTCTTAAATTTAATAAAATAAGTATTTAAATTTTTATATTTATCTTATTTAAGTAATTTAGTTTAAATAAATTAATTTTATATTATTATTAAATTAATATTTTTAAGAATTTTTTACTTTTTTATTATTATTTATAATATTTATTAAAATAATAAATTATATATAATATTATTATTTATTTTATATACAGTGGCAATCAAAAATAATGTAACGCTTAAATTTTTTACTAATTATAATTAGTAAAAAATTTAAGTATTACATTATTTTTGATTGCCACTGTATATTAAATTTAAATTTTTTCTTTTTTAATCTTAAGCTATAAATATAATTTTAATTTATATAATTTAAATAAGTATATTTTTATTTAATTTTTTAGAATAAATTTAATTTTTTAGAATAAATAAATAATTTAATAAAAAGATAAAATAAGAATTTAAAATTAATAGAACTTTTATTTTTTATAATATTAATAAGTTTAATTATATTTTTTATAAAATTTTTAAATTATTTTTATTCATATTTATTATAATTTAAAATTAATTAAAAACTAAAATATATATAAAATATATAATATATATATTATATAATAATAATTATATTTACTATTATTTATGATTATAAATAAAATAAAATATGAAAAAAAATAATTTTAATTTATAAATACTTATAATTTTATTATTTAAATAATATTCAAATTTGAGAATTAATTTATAAATAAAATAATATATTTATATAAAATAATATAAAATATAATAATTAAATAAAATATAATACTTAAATTTTTTATTAATTATAATTAGTAAAAAATTTAAGTATTATATTACTTTTAATTATTACTATATAAATAAATTAAAATATATATAATTAAAAAAATTAATAATTTTATATTATATTTTTGAAGAGTTGATTTAACAATAAGTAATAAATAATAATATAAATAATAATAATATAAATAATAATAAATAAAAATATAAAAAAAATAAATTAAAAAACTAATTAATAATAAGATTAAATTAATAATATAAAATTAAAAATATAATATTAAGAACACAAAATAAAGATCTAAAATAAAAATAATCTAATCAAACTTATTATATTATTATAATTATTATTATAATTATTATTATAATTATTATTATAATTACTATTATAATTATTATTATAATTATTATTAGAATTGTTTCTATAATTATTATTATAATCATTATCAAGATTAAACTAACTAATTACAATATTATGTGATTAATTTTGTACTTATTTCTTAATTACTTTTAAATATCTTCTTATTAATAATATTATAAGTAAATATTTTTTATAATTTCTAATTACTTTTATTAATATAAAAACTTCAAATACAAAAATACAAATTTGCAATTTTAAGAAATTTATTTTAAGAAAAAATGATTGATTTGATATAATATTACAAATGCAAAGATAATATTATAAAAAATTATTATATAAAGTTCAATAATGCTAATTTTTATTATTTATTATAGTTTGAATCATTATAGCTTAATGAAAAAAAATTTTTAACAAATAAAAATCAATATATTATAAATTTAAGATTAAGATCTATTTTAAATTATTACTAAGCATTTAATACATATATTTATATGCTAATAATTCAGGCTAAAAATTTTTAATTATAAACAAAATCTTAATCAAGAATCTCTTCATACACTTATAAGAATTAAAAAATTCAATTTCGAAATTTTTTCCGAATCCCTGAAACAGAAGATCCGTCATAAAAATCATGTAATACTTTCGGTCCGGCAAAACAAACAAAAATTATGAAAAATGTAAAAATTATATTGTTTATTAGTATACATCATGTATAGCGTTCATAATAAAATCTAATAGTTAGGATAATTAGTTTTATAGCAATCACGCTCATTAATATAGTAAATATCTAAAATAGAAAAATCATAAAAATCATTCGTTATAAGTTCTGAATCTTAAAATCTTATTGAAATGAAATTAAGATAATGTTAAAATGAGTTTACATCCTAAAGGCTCACGTAAATTTTCTTCATATGATGCCGTCCATTGTTATACGGTATCTTCATTGGACTGTGGAATTGTGGCTTGGTCCATTTTACTTTCTTGGATGCCATCTCATCTATCTGACTTCTTGTGACTAATTGATAGTGAGCCGCCTCTTCATTGACGATGTCCTAAGTTTATGTTAAAATTAGTAATGGTGATTGTACACATGATGTCTGGGTTGATATTTGCATACCCTAATTGTGGCTAGGACCCGGTAGCATCCCAAAATAGTGCACCAAGACGTGGCTGCTTTTGGAAGCTCGAATTCTCCAATGAGAATCATACGATAAATCCCATCAAATCTGAGGTCCATCACATATGCTCTGCCTAGAAAGCCTAAGAATAAAGGCTAATTATCCGATAAGAGTCTCTTTTCGCCAATTAAACCTGACTATTCACCTATTATCTGTATGCCGCAGATGACGAGATCGTCGACGCCATCTCCGATTGATTTGTCCAAGGCATTCTTCATCGTTTTACCCAGATATACCAGATCTACCGCAGAGAGAGCATCTCGTACTTTCGGGGGCTTTATTTCCCCGATTAGCAGTTCGACATGCTTTTTGGGGTTGGTTGTCCTGACGGTGAAATCGGGTTTTACACCCATAAGGACAGGATCAAACCGTTTTTTTGCTATCGCGGACGATTCTGACATTCGGTTAGCCCTATTAATAAACCAAAGATAAGGCTTGTTTCATTCGTTTCATTAATGCTATGCCGTGTACACGCAATAAACATTCATTAATAGCAAATACCAATCGAAGCAGGTTTTTTTGTCCTTAAAAAATGGCTCCACTACCGGAGCGACGTTCTTGTGAGCATGGGTATCTTCGTTATCACATGTAGTGAATGATGACTGCTCATTCTCAATGCTATACAACATGAAATATCGATATCCGGTTAGATTAAACTTAACTGAGACAAATTATTAAGCAAATCTGCAGCATTTTACGAAACATACATGTTCCTAATGACCTCTTCCATTACTTTGTCATCTTTGTCATCGATTTCCAAACGTTGCAAGTATTCCTTCACAGCCATTTTACGCTCATTGTGATTGGGTACATCGCATGCAATCTGACAATCAATATGGTCAGAGCTCGAATATCTCCTTCAAAGGGAATACAGCTCAATATAATACCTTGGAAATGTTCGTAAAAATTTCCAAAACACTGCTGGGAATTGCCTCATGAGCGTAAAGAGTCCGAAACTCTGCAAAGAGACTTTCCCATAATTCAAGGTCGAAGTACTCCCGGAGACCGTTGGGATCGTCTTCGTGAAATAAAAAAATATGACTTAAAGCCCTGCAAAGGAAGAGAAAAAAATTTAGTTACTATCTTTTAATCAAAGTCACAATACATGTGAGACTAACAGTTCCTCGCTGGACGTCAAAATAGTTGATTTCGTCTTGCAACTGTCAATCACCGCATTTCGATACATAAGACACTTCTCCGATATGTCGGCACCTTTGACGAACCACTGTTTGAGAGTGAGATGAAAGAGCTACCATAATAAGATACTGCAAGACACATTAAAACTTACTCTAGCCGAACTTTCTTTGAGGTCCCATGATACCAAACCCGGTCCGACAAAATAGTCCAGATAATACCGTTTGCCTTTTTGAACGGATTCGTCACTGCTAACGGAATCAGCGGAGGACGGTACATACAAAGAACCCGTCGATGACGTTGTCGGGGTCTCATCCGGTATCGCATGGTTGATCTCTTCCCTCCTTCTGAGCATCATGACAGTTGGTGAATTTTGGTCCTATATGGCAGAAAATACATCTACAGTATTAAAAATCGCGATGGTTCAAGACAATAACAGTAGTCATAATCCTTACACCGCCATAACACATATCAGCTTTGCGCTTCACGCCGCGCCCTGTGTAGGCCTGAACATGTGTCATTTAATTTTTTGTGGTCAACGTGAATCATGGATACAAACAACTATATATGTAAGTAAGAGTATGTGAAAAGCAAATTTACGTCATTACTGGTGCTGTCCAGAAGATCTGTCACTTGTTCAGAGACAAACGTTTCTCTTGTATGCTGCTCTCTTTGCTAAATATGATGCATAATATTAATAATGAACGACCGTCCCATTTGTGAGAAGATTATTGTGTTTACCTGCTGAATGTCTCTAACTGAGGAAATCACTTGGCACTGTGCACTGATCTTGATATATCGATTTAAAGCAATCATCGTAGTATCGCTCAACTGCTCAGAAGCCTAATAGAATTGTTTAAATAAAGATTATTAGATTTAGCATAGCGGTAGAGTTTTTAGTCAAGTATCTTCCTTTATGATAACTACCTGATATTCAATCAACTCTTTGATAAAGCTTCTATAATTTGTGGGAATTTCCTTTCTTGAATTTACGACCTTCAATGATCTAAGCCAAAGCTGCTCCACATCCTCAACGGAGTTGACACGAATCTTCGAAACAATAATTTGCGAAACAAAACGTTCATATGACCAATCTTTAATGTCGATGGCTGCTAATGCTGGATGAATAATGGATGTTAGTTCGAAATACGGACTATGTTTAAGAAGACGAGGCCTCGGAGGCAATGAATCGCGACAGTGTTGAGTAGCCATGTTTTATAACCACTTGTTCGGATTCGACGTCTTCGTTTTAAAAAAAACGCGACGCGTAAGGTTTACGTCACTTGTTCGGATTTGTGTTAAAAAAAAAACAAAGGTTACGTCATCGACTACCCTATACATGTCGATCATAATTGTTGAACCAACGAGAAATAGTTTATGGGTTATTTTTTTAATGTGTAGCCCAAGGCAAAGAATCAAGCAAGTGGGTAAGCAATGCTTTCCATTTTATGCTGTCTTTGTGTAAAATCGAATCACAGACCTCATACCTATCAGTTTCGGAGACTGATACTCAGTTCTCTCCTGCGGCCACCAGGCGGTATGGTTCCTCTGGCGCACCTTACATTGTCAAGTTGCTATTGCGGCTACCAGGCGGATATT